AGCTCCTTTTCAGAGCTACGGCCAAGAGAAGCCAGTTATCTAAGGCTGCTGGGGAAGAGGCAGGCAGCTGCAGACTCTGGCCTGAGCACAGCCTACCGGGGCTTCTTGGCCTCTGGGTACCTGCATGTCGGATCTAGTGCCTGGCCCTGTGTCATGCTAAGTCCTAAGCGACCTCCCAGTGAAGTTGACACACTTTTCATGCCACTAACACTACACATCTGCTGGGGCAGGGGCTGGGGGCTGGACACTAGCTGGTATTCACTGATAAAGTCCACTCATCTGTACTGAGCCCTAGCCATAGGCACAGCAGGGTCCTGTACCACAGGGACAGCTGACAGCCCCCTTTCCCAGTACCTGCCACTTTTCCCCAGTGTCCCCTCTCCAAGAGCAGCCCGTGCTTCAGCCTGCTGGCTGGACCCTGGAGTTCCCTGATCGTCTCCCTGCTCCAGTCAGCCGCCACTCCATCACCAGGCACTGTGCACTGTGCAGCTCACACATCTTGCAGAGTTTATCACTGCATCCATGTCCCCAGCCCTCACCTACATCCCTCCCCTTTTATCACCTGGATGTTTGCATCCAGGAGCCTCCTCTGGTCTGGCTTCAGCCCAGCAGCCAGAGGGATGCTGGTCACACAGGGCAGATCACGGCACTCCTCACCCAAACCCAGGCTAGCTCCTGACTCGCCCTTACAGTGACCTGCTACCCTCTTGGCACCAGCCACACAGCCTCCTTCCTGTCCCTCAGACTGTTCAGACATGTTCCCACTTCAGGGCCTTTGCACTGGTGGTTCCCTCATTCCTGATGCCTGCTTGCCTCCCTCCTTCACTACCTGTTCATACTCGTCTCTCATCTATCAGGAGGCCAGCCCCACCCACCTTTGCAGACTTGGAGCCCACATGTGCCACCCCCAACCCTGGCCACCTGGAGGTCCATTTCCACTTTAGCACTGGGCACCTCTGTCACTCGCTATTTATCTGCAATCTGTAGTCTGACTCCTGCCCTCCTACGTGAGCAAAAATAGGGAATGGATCTTCATCTGCCTCAGTTAGCAGCTCCAGCCCAAGTGCCAGGCTCAAAGCCATAGTTCAGCAAGTAAGTGTGGGATGCTGGAGCACCCCTGATCCATCTCCCCTCTGCCCCAGTTGCTTTAGCCTAGCTCCACACCACAGCTGGTTCCTCCTCTCCAGGGCATCTCTGCTCCCAGGATGCCACATACAACCACATGCAGATGCTCACAGGCACCAGCACACATGCAGCTGCACACACGCACAGCCACATGCAGACAGGGGCATGGACCTGTACACACCCACAGATGTATACATGGGCCTGCTCACAGACACGTACATGGAGCTGCGTGTGCATATGAACAGACACATGCACGTACTGGCATACAAGCAACCAGACACAGATGCATCCATGCTCCTCCACACTCACAGACACACAAGGAACTACGCATTCATGCACACATACCATGATGGACCTGCACACGGACACCACATACTGCCACAAACATGCAGATACACACCTGGCTTAAAACCTTCAGTGGCTTCCCTCTTCAGTGAAGACCAAGGGCTCAGCTGGACTTCTGGTGAGGCCTGCCCCTTCCAGGGTCTTGCCTGGTACCTCTCTCCTCTTCCTTGGTCCAGCCACTCTGACCCTCCTTCAGTTCCCCTGTCACCCATGTCTTGCCCATCCCTAACACACCCCCACACATCACAGGGCCTTAGAGCATGTTACTCCTTTGCCTGGCACACTCTTTCCCTGGCCCATCCCACTGGTATTTCTAGCTATGCCCAGGGGCACTGTGGTGGGGGATCTTGGGTGTTGGGCTCTAGTGACCCATGAGTAGTTTCTGGGCCAGGGAACAATCCAACTCTTGGCCTTTGTCTCTGGGCTAGCCATCATCAGGTTCCATCCTGGGACTTGGGGAGTCCTAGCATGTCTGGTAAAGCCCAGGTTAGACTCAGAGAGGGCTGGCTAGAGCCTTGTGTAAGAGCCAAGAAGCCAAGCCTCAGAATTAGTGGGACTGTCATAAGGTCCCATTTGGACCACAGCCAGGCTCCCATCCCAAGGCCTCCTTGCATCTGTGCACAGCCCTGTCCCGTGCATGGTGTCCCTGCAGGGGGCACTCACACCCCCAAACATGACAGAGCCCCACAGAGCTGCAGGAAGAAATCTGGGCAGGAGAATTCTGCTTATTTAGTTCGGGTGATCTGAAAGATGAGGCTCCTCAAGCAGGGGACCTGCCCTTGGTTGTGACTGTTTGTCACTGCCTTGGCCCTGACGCACGCGTGGTTGCTACCTGGCCTCAGCGTCCCCTTTTCATCCCACATTGCCCCGTCGTTGCTGGTGCACACTGATCAAAGACTGCACGGGCTGCCCTTGGCTCCAGACTTCCAGACAACAGCAGTTCAGGGCCCAGACTGCCAGCCTAGCGTCCCCATCCTGTTTTTTCTGATTTTCCAGCCTTGGAGCCATGGAGTGCATACATCCCAAAGCACAAATCGCACATCCCTGGACAGAGCAGCTTCTCTGCCCACCACTGGGACAGAAGACCAGGGGGGTGCCTGGCCATACCTTAAATTTTCAAATGCTGAATTGAGAAGAATTAGTGAGACTGTCATAAGGTTCCATTTGGACCACAGACAGAGGACACCTTCTGCCTTCTGAAAGGAGCATGTTGGCTTCCTGCTGGAATGACGGCACTGTCAGGGAAGACCCTAGGTGCCAAGGAAGTGGGCTGAGGGCTTTGGACACCTTTCCACACCTGAGGGACTGTCAGGTTGTCAGCAGGGACAAGGGAGCAGCCACAGGGTCCCCATCCTCTATGCACTGATGGTTTGTGTGCATATTACACATTATTATGTGTCATCTTTAAGCAGGTGTTCTGCCCACTGTGTGCTGGAGTAGGAGGGTCATTTCAAGGCTTCCATTCTCAGATGTAATTTTCAGCCTCATTGGAATTGGGCTGAGTAACTGTTTAATCACTGCCCTCTTGGCAGACACTTTTCTAGGACATTCCCTGGTGCACCTCTCATCAGTGGCTGTCCGGTGAAGCAGGAAAGTTCCTTAGCCTCTCCAGTGATTCCTTCCCTCCTTCCTTCCATCCACCAAACAGTGCTTACTGAACACCCGCTGTGCACCAGGCACTGCTTTGTTCCCAGTGGGGAGTGAGGCCACAACGGACCCTCCTTGCCCACACTCTGGCTTGGGGTGGAGGCGACGGCAGCACACAAGATCATGTAGGTCACACATTAGCTGAGGGCTGCTATGGAGGAAGACGGGGGCAAGGTGACGCTCACAGTGACAAGCACAGAGGGGCAGTGACTGCTACTGGCTGTCGCTCTCTGAGCACCAGGCTTGTGCTAGTCGCTTTACTCGGCACAGATACCTGTGGCCAGTGAGGGACAGGCTCTGAGATGGGAGTGAGTCACCAGAGACCACACAACCTGGGATAGGCAAGCAAGGCATGAAGGATGAGACCACCGTGAGAGTGGTGGGGCAACATCAGGGTTTGACCAAGGGAGAGAGGCAGCATTAGAGCCTCCAGCTGTCAGAGGCTGGTGGAGACAGGGAGCAGGTGTGAGAGGCCACCACCACTGCCAGGAGAGACCAGAACCTCTGCCCAGGGAGAGGACAGCGCACCAGGCCTGCTTCAGAGCAGGATCGCCAGGACTAGTGGTCAAGGTTTATGATGGGCAAGGGACAGTGAGAGGCAAGAATGGCAGCTAGGAGGATCAAGTGCTATTTGCTGAGGGTTTGACAGGTTGAGTTTCAGATGCTGGTCACACCCAGGAGTTGGGGGTGGGGCCTTGGCTGTTGGGGTCTGTCTGCCTCAGGCCACCCAAGGGCCTGTCATGGAGTTGATGGGTGGCATTAGAGGGGTGAATTCTGTCTATGTCAGGATGGGAGGCTGTGTGGGTCTTTAGACAGGGACAGAGGTCAGGGGAAGGAGCAAGAGGGGTGCCTGTGAGCTGGGTAGGGCTAGGCATCGCCCTGGGCTCACAGCCAGGAGCAGAAGCGTGAGCTTTGGGCTGCCCCTTGTGTGGGGAGGCCTGGCCCAAGCACCTGGCAAAGTCACAGGGGCCTCCTAGGGTGTGCCCCTCCCTGCTGGCAGGAAAGGTGAATGAGGACACGGAGGCCCTGAATGTCAGGGTTGGTGAAAGATTCTGCCTGGGACTGTGGGGCCTCTAGGCTACCCTGCCTTGCCCTGGCCTCAGTAATTACAACTACCCTTAGGAGCTACTGTGACATCTCCTGCTCTCCCAGGTGGATTTCACCACAGTGCCACATGCAGGCCCCAGCCCCCTGGCCTCAGCCCAAGCCCCCCTCTACCTCCTTCTGCGGGAGTGAAGCCACCCCTGCCCACTCTGCTTGGACACTTCATGGTGCTCCCGCAGCCTGCTGCCTCCACTTTGCTCTGGTCCCTGCCCATCTGCTGGCTCCTGGGCTGGCCCAGCAGAGTATTCTCTAGGGAAGGCAGGGGCCAGGCCTCCCTTCTGGTGCTTGTCCTCCCTGTGATCAGCAATGACCCAGCTCCTGCGGGGGTGGTGAGAGTCAGGGAGGCACTCAGTTATCCTAGGGCTGGGCCAAGGCCTGGACACCCCTGTGAAGCAGGGCAAGGCTGAGCTCCATCAGTGCTCTCTAGGAGGAGGGCCCCACGGGCATCACAGCAGGGTGACCTTATTGAATCCTAACTGGACGTGGCAGAAGTGAGTCCAGCATGGGGGCTGGGTGGGCAGAGGCCTCACACACACCCTCCTCTACCTCATGCACCTGGCTTCAGGTAGACGAGCCAGGCAGCAGCAGGCATATGTGTATACCTTGGTGTGGACACATCCTGCAGCGCCCCATGGAGGAGAGGGGGTTGGATGGATTGTTCCCAGCTCATTTTCTGAGGCCAGTCTCTGCTACTCTGTTTTCAGAAGAGCTCCCTTTCCCTGTCCGGCCTGAGGTGGGGCTGTGGGGAGGAGGCTCACGCATTTCTCTGTGTTTGGCAGGTGAAGGGCTGGATGCACAGTGGGAGCCAGAGGCGGGGGGCTGCAGGGAGCATACCAGCGACCCTCCAACCCTCCAGCCATTCAGCAGCATCGCCACAGCAACCGGCAACCAGACGGCAGCAGCCGAGGCAGACACAAGCGGACGGCTTCCCACCGTCGGCCGAGGACAGGGAATGACTACGGCAAATCAGGCCACTTTGCCGACTAGGGAGGTGGAGTGTCACTAGTGGGGAGGGGCGGCCACCGCCCACTGCACGGAGCGCCATGCCGGCTGGAGAAGAGGCGCTGGGGCAGGGGCTGCAGTGTGCCTCAGCCTCACCCCCCTGCTGGCACTGAGCACCTCCAGGGCAGCTGGGCTCTCATCTGCCTGGTCTCAGCATCCCCTGTGGCAAGAGGGAGAGGCACCCCGTCCTGTGCTCCTTGTCTGGGCCCGCTGCTGCCAGACCATGGGATGTCGGCAAAGCTCAGAGGAAAAAGAAGCAGCCCGGCGGTCCCGGAGAATTGACCGCCACCTGCGCTCGGAGAGCCAGCGGCAGCGCCGCGAGATCAAGCTGCTCCTGCTGGGCACTAGCAATTCAGGCAAGAGCACCATTGTCAAACAGATGAAGATCATCCACAGCGGTGGCTTCAACCTGGAGGCCTGCAAGGAGTACAAGCCGCTCATCATCTACAACGCCATCGACTCGCTGACCCGCATCATCCGGGCCCTGGCCGCCCTCAGGATCGACTTCCACAACCCCGACCGCGCCTACGACGCTGTGCAGCTCTTCGCTCTCACGGGCCCCGCCGAGAGCAAGGGCGAGATCACCCCCGAGCTGCTGGGCGTCATGCGGAGGCTCTGGGCAGACCCGGGTGCACAGGCCTGCTTCAGCCGCTCCAGCGAGTACCACCTGGAGGACAACGCGGCCTACTACCTGAACGACCTGGAGCGCATCGCCGCAGCCGACTACATCCCCACCGTCGAGGACATCCTGCGCTCCCGGGACATGACCACGGGCATCGTGGAGAACAAGTTCACCTTCAAGGAGCTCACCTTCAAGATGGTGGACGTAGGTGGGCAGAGGTCAGAGCGCAAAAAGTGGATCCACTGCTTCGAGGGCGTCACGGCCATTATCTTCTGCGTGGAGCTCAGTGGCTATGACCTGAAACTCTACGAGGATAACCAGACAGTAAGTAGGGCCTGGGGTTTTCCTCTGCTTGTTCCTGCTGTCATGGGTTCCCGGAAGCAAGAGGATTCGCAGGGTCTGGCAGAGTCTGCAGCCAGAAAGGGAACCGGGCACAGGCCCAGCCCTGCGGCACGATAACCGAGGTGGCTCCAGCAAGGTGGGCGAAGAGGGAACGATGTGTGGAGTGCAGGTGTCCCATGCCTGAAGTACTCAGGTGTGCAGGCCGCAGGGCAAGAGAGTATGAGGCTCCGCCAAGCATCCGGGGTCAGTCCATCTGATAGTCTAGCAAATCCATGAAGCTCCTGCCGGCACCAGTCTCCTTTTAGCATGTAGGTCTGGGAACAACAGCCACCCCTACAACCCCATCTTGAGCCTGACAGTCTGGCAGAGATGGGGTTAAGAGCTGTTTAGAAGGTAGAATCCCAGGTCCTGGTGGAGAGGGGACGACGTAAAAGCAGGTATTGGGATTCTTTCGTAGTGGCATGGGTGCAGCCCAAGGGAGACCTGAGCCCAGTGCCAGGTGGTGGGGGCTTGAAAGTGGAGTTGCTAGAGAGGGTGGCGAGCTGGGCAGAGCAGGGGGGCAGTATGCACAGGCCCAGCCAAGACAAGGGGGTCCAGCACATGAGGAGGGGCCACATCCAGGAGTGTCAGCGGTGGAGGCCGTGGCAGACAATGGAGGGGCTGTCTTGCTCAGCAGGACGCCCTGAGCACAGTTCAAGTCTGCACTTAAGAGAGAGAGAGGCCTTTGACCCTGGGAATGGGAGAGTGGGGGCAAACGAGTCATGAAGTTGTGGGTGCCCTGGAGCTGGCGGGGGGAGGGTGATACTGGGAGAAGAGGGCCCAGCCTCCCCACTTGGGAGCACTGGCCTCTGAGGTCACTTCTTCCTGCACCCAGTCCTAAGGCAAGCTTCAGAGGTCTTTGAGTGCAGCCTAGAGCAATAATAGTTCTGGCTTTGGACCTGTGCCCCCGCCAGGGAACTTGGACAGCTCCATGCTGTGGCCACAGTGCTAGGAGCCTAAGTGTTCTAGCAGAGAAGCTCTTTGGCTTTCATCAGGCAGCTAGAGAGGCAGCCTTGCCTCCCTCCCCTTCTCACATCAGAGGTCTCCCTGGAACTGTGCCTAGGTGTTGATGGTGCATCTGGGGGGAACAAATGATGGGCAGGCTGCAGGCAGGTGTGTGCACAGGTGGCTGTATCCACGCTGCTCCCAGTGTGTATATCTGTATGATTTCCGGGGTTCTGGCCCCTTACACTGTGGCTGCCCTCAGTTCTGCCCCATGTGTGATTCTGGGCAAAGGGGACATCCCAGCAGATGAGTGAGGTGAGGCTCCCTTGATGAGGCATGGCTGTAGGCAGAGGGCTTGGGGCTGACAAGCTGCAAGGCAAAGTGAGGTGCTCAGGCTGGACCCCTGGGATGGTGCCATGGTGGGTCTGCCGGCCACCCTGCAGCTGCCGGTCACATGGGCTTGCACCACTGGCCCTCTAAACTTCTGCCCACTTCCGCTGTGTGCTGAGGCTGCTGAGATCTCATTGCTGTGAGGCCTTCCTGACTTGGATCTGGTGGCTCCCTCATCCATCAACTCAGTGGCAGGCATGGCAAATTCCCCAGGCGCCAGGCCTGGCTCCCAGATGCATCCTTTGACAGGCCATGCCCACAGGTGTGCTGGAGTTAGTGGAGTTGAACCTGGGCCTTGAGTTGGTTCCATGTTTCATGGAGGGCTTTGGCTGTCACCTTTCCGTTGTGAACTTGTCTATGAGGAGATGGCCCTCACAGATGGGCCGAAGGCTAGGCCTTTGCCTGCCCACAGCCCTCTCAGCTCTGCCTGGCCCGCGCCTACCACCTTGCTGCCTCTCTCTCCTCTCCTCCTACTCCAGCTATGGTCAGCTTGTTTTGCTCCAGCAATACTGCTCTGTCCAGCCTTAAGCTTATAACCATCCTGATCCCTGCCTCTCATCCCCCTGCCCTTATCCTTTAGGTCTCATCCCAAGTGACGCCTACTGGGAGGCCTTTTCTGACCTAGCCTGGCAGCTGCACCCCCCTTCCATCAAGTGATGTGTGAGCAAGCTCCTCAGGGCAGGCCCTGGAAGTACTGGGTGGCCCCTGTGGGGCCTCATGTCTCTAGCCTTCCCTCTCCTGGGCCTGTCCCTGGGGAGAACCATGGTAGGCAGCCATGGGCAGGGACAGCAGCCACTGGCCTGGCCTCAGGGATCTCTCTGAGACTCCAGTTATTCAGAGTGTTTTCTGAAGAGAGGGGCTAGCAGCCGGGCTGGCACACCCACCACCATCACCCTGGTTTCTGCAGGCCTGGGGAAGTGGTTGTGCACCAGAAAAGGAAATTCTTGATGAGAAACCCAAGCGAGGCTGGAAATTCACTGGATTCCAAATGATTCTGACCTTTCATGCTCTACCAGTAATATCTGGAAATGGAGGAAAAACAGGCTGCTGAGGAAAGACAATCCCCTCCCACGATGCCTCCTGCTGGCTGGGCTGGCCCCAGAGGTGGGCTGGCCCCCAGGGTGGTGCCAACAGTGAGGACAGCTCTCCTCCAGCCAGGCGAGGGCCAGGGCAGGGCTGGCACAGCGGCTAGCACAGGGCTGCCACTCTGCCGTCTCCTTTTGGAATGTGCTGAATTGTCCTCCCTGGGCCCTGTCAAAGGCAAGGCAGCCAAGAACAGGCCATGCTCATTTTCACAAAAGCCGAATGAACCTTGGGGCCCAGTGCCAGGGCTCTGGACACAGCTCCTCATAGTTCTTCTTCCATGCTTAGCTCCCAAGGCCTCATCTCCTGATGCTGGCAGTGCCTCCCCGCCCCCACTCCTGGCGAAGGAGCCACAGCCCCCCGGCCCACCCGCTGGCTTCTGCGTCAGCACGTTGCCAAGGAGAACGTCAGCATCTCTGGGCTCCCGGGTGTGAGGGCTGCAGTGATTGCAGGGCAGCACCTCAGAGCAGGGAAGGCAGATTTCAGGGTGCCTATAAAGCATGGCAGTGAGCCATACAAGGAGCCACGCCCCCTCGGTGGCCATGGTTCCCACCCTCATCCAGAGGAATTGACGGACCCTTGCCCTGACCAGGGCCGAGACTTGCAGGCGCAGCCGGTACCCCAGCGACCCCAAGCCCACCACCCAGCTGGGGCTTCCTCAGGCAGCACAGGAGGCCTGAACACAGCCCAGCAACTCAAGGGGGTTTTTCTGGTGCACCTGTCCCCTGAATGATCTTGTGGGATAGCAGCACCTGTTATTTTTGTCACAGATCGACACACTGAGGCTCAAGCACACAGCTGGCACTGATAGGCCCCTACCCCCCAAGTCCACAAAGACAGCTCCTGAGAGACCATGTGTCACAGGACCCACCATGGTCCCCTCACTTGGCCAGGGCCGTGGCGGGGGTTCTGCCCCTCCTCTTTAGTACATTCACACAAGGGTCAGTCAACAAGATGGTCACTCTGCTGCCCTAGGGAAAGGCAAAGTGGAGAAGCTGGCACCTACCAGCCACACGGAGGGACAGACACAGGTGGCTGTGACCAGCAGAGCCCGAGTCTTCACTCAGCCCCACTGGAGGTCCCTGGGTTGAGGGGGTAGGTGGGCACTTGCTGCCCAACCTCTGCCCTTGCAGATCAGCTAATGGACTCCGCCGGCTGCCTAATGGTGTGGGACCCTTCAGAGGGCACAGATTAAAAGTCTGGTTGTAAAGTGTCAAATGTCCTCATGTGGAAACCCACTGGGAGCTGACTGCCTATTTCCTGAAGGAGCTGTCAGCATTCCGAGCCCTGCGGCAGATCTGCTTGTGCCTGTGATGGGCCTGCTGTGCGGGCGCAAGGCTCAGGTGGGGGCCAGATATGAGGGTGAGCCCAACTCTCCCAGCAGCACAGGGAACTGGGGGACAAGGAGGAGGCAGTCACACCAGCGCAGTCACAGCTTCAATTCTACAAACTTCATGCTGCCAGGGATACCTGCCCTGTCTCTCTAGAGCTGACAGGCAGCTGTTCCCAGCACTGTCCCCATTATGCTTTCATCTAGGACTCATGGTGGTCACTTGGGCCCCACAGGCAGGCTGGGTCACAGCAAGGTACACCATGGGAGGCCTGGTGTCTCTGCCACTTATCTGAGAGACAGCTGGTCAACATGTTATCAGTAAGGGTACCCAGGGGACGAGGGATGTAAGAACATGCCTTTTGTGGGGCAAGTTCTACAAGTGCTTCAGCAGCAAGCCTCCAGGCGGGTGGCCTCCGCCCAGCCCTGGATAATGGTCCCTTGTCCTGTGGCCATTGGCTTCCTGCAAAACCCTTCCCTACTCCAGGACAGGTCAGCAGCCCCAGCACACCATGAGAGTAGGTCCATCCCCACCCCCATGGCCTGTGCTATAAGCAGAGGGCCTGGCACACAGTGGGTGCTCTGCAGACTTCATGGAGCAGGCAGGAGACAGTAGGCTTGGGAAGAGCTGGAGCTCCAGGGCCCTGGCTTCTGGATGCAGAGCAGCTGGGGCCCTCAGCCCTTCCCGAGGAGACGTGGTGGGTGCTGGTCCATAAGAGGAGTGTGTGCAGTGCCCTGAGGAGGGGCTGCCAAGGCTGTCCTGTGAACACAGCATGTTCCTGCCACCCTAGCACTATGAATTATCATTTAGCCCAAAAAAGGAGCTTGTTTTAGTGCCTTTAAAAAATTGAGTTTTAACATTAGTGCTGTAAAATGGTGTGTTGTGGGCGAAACAAGGTATTTGCCATAAGACAGGCTTGCACCTATTGTTGACAGAAGTGGTTATATTTGTCCAAAGAGGGAATTACAAATGGGCAATAGCCAGATACCCTCTGCCCACCATACCAGGGCTTAGAGTTAGAAGGGACCTTACATATCCTTTAGTGTTCTTAACCAGCCAGCTTTGCAGATGGGGAAACAGGCTCAGACAGGTTCCATCACATACCCCAGGGCTGAAACTCTGACTCTCAGGGAGGATCCTAGCACTTGCCCCTGGGAATTCCAGCAGCCTCCTCTTCCCGCTACTGGTCCCACA